TGCCGCGCAGGAGAGCTCGTCGGCCACACGGAGAGGGTCTCCGGGTTCGCGTTTTGCCACCACCCCGGGCAGAGCGGGCTCTGCGCTAGCAGCTCCGACGACGGGACGGTGAAAGTCTGGGACACGCAGACGCTGTCGCCGGTGACGGAGCATACGTTGCACCAGGTAGGGACACCGGTGCCCATCTTCGCCGGGGCGTAGGAAACGCTGAGAGAAAAACTCACTGATCTGCCTTGTAGGACTGGCGCACAAAGCAGCGGGTATTGCTTCAACTAAAGGTGGATTTCGAAACTGGTGGAGTCAGGACTGTTGAATTCTTGTGGGTAGCTATTTTTTCCGGGCTTAGGTCTATAGTGATGTTATAGCATCTTAATAAGCTGTCAGGTATCATCAGAGCTTCAGTGAGCGAGTAATGCACTTGGTGCATGCCTATTAACACAGCTCACTTAACATCACCTCACCAAGTTGTTCTTCCTCGGAGAACACACGTGCGGTACGTGTGGTGAGTTACTGTGCCTCAGCTGCTGGGAGATACCACGGCCCATAAGAAGTTAACTGGAATGGCAGCGTATTGGCACACCAAACATGTCAAAGCTCAAAGTAACGGAAGCAGTTTAAAACTTAGCTGATGTTGGGGAGTACTTGCAGATTGTTTTCTCTTTGTTATTCTGTGTTAGGTGGTAATCTCTAGCTAGTGAGTGAAGGCAGGCTGTTAGAGTAACGTAGTCTGCTTTCCATCCAAAAAGAAGCTGCTTTTTATGCATTTCATTGTGTTCTGTGTTTTAATTCTTTAAACAGTATGAAATAAATCTAGTGGAACAACATCCTAGACTCCTTTAAACGTCTTTGATTCTGTTTCTTCAGAATACAATCTCTGCATTGCACTGGTCACCTCTTGTGAAAGATTTGGTTGTATCCGGTGATGAGAAAGGTATAATTGTTTGTTACTGGCATAACAGAAATGACAGCCAACAATTCTTCCCAGAGCCTCGGACAATTTTTTGCCTCACTTGTTCTCCTCATGACGAAAACCTGGTGGCTGTTGGGTAAATATTAATTGTTTTGTTGCTTCTCATTCTTCTTTTGAAAGGTCCTTGTCGTGGATTTTTGCTTGTTAAACAATTGCACAATTGCTTTCTAAGAGGTCTTGGTGGCTGTTTGGTTTCTGGTACGCGGCAACCCAGAAAGAATGTTCAGATTTGATAGACATGAAAGACATAGAATTCTATAAAAATTTAAGGGTCTGGGTTTGGTTTGAATCTCTGAAGTTATTTTAAACTAATATTTTTTTGATTAGACTTCTTTGGTCTTTGTCATATTACAGGTAACTTCATTTGAACAGTTTCTTAGTCTTGCTAGGCCTTTCTCAGCCATTGCAATTCCAGCCCCTTAGATGCCCAAGACCATATTGAACGAACAAGGAATAACATGAAAGCCCTTTAAACTTGAGAGCGCAGTTTTGTTGAAGGAGAACAAACACAAGAGAAGGGAGAAAATGAAAGTGGTGTTTCTAAAAGGAAAGGTTTTCCATGTAGAAAAGCGACTGTTGCTTGTCAGGTCTGTGGAAGCAATACTACTAATGACATTCATGAAGCCAAAAGTACCGTGTAATTGCACCTGAAAAGGCAGTTGCGTGTATTCCAGTGCTAAACTGGAGCTCCAGCTGATCGTTAGTCTGCGAGTCCCATTGCTGCTTGTGCTTTGGCTTCCCTGTCTGTAATATGGAGATAATGATAACAATCTCAGTGACAAGCTTTGAAATCAAATCAGATATTATTCCACAAGGGTCCAAGAGTTTCTTCATTAACTTAAATCTTTATT